GCCCCTGCCCCCTCTGCCAGCCACACCGGTGTCCCCAGGGCCACGGAGAGGGGACACGTGTCCCCACTGCTGGGAACAGGGTCACCTCATTCCACACACCTTCTCCCTCCCCCCGCACGGACACTCCCTGTCCCACCCACCTTCTGTGTGTCCCCAAGCCATGGTGGGCACCAGCGTGGGTGACCCTCGTGTCCCACCATGGGAGGGCAGAGGTGACAGATGGAGGTGGATATGGGGATGGGGCACAGGGAGGTGACAATCTATGGGATGGAACCAAAGCAATGGCCACCTCCTCTCCCGTGACACCCCTGGGGACACTCTCTCAGCATCCCTGGCCCCATGCCCTGTTGGCACACGGGCTGTGGCACCAGGGGACATCCCACCATGAGCCATTTTGCTCCTGGCAGGGACACGTCAGCCACAGACCCAGCCATGAGGAGGACACGTGTCCCCAGGGAGCATCCAGCCCCACGGGATGTGATGCCAGGCAACCGGTCCTGGCCAAAGCTGGCCCGGGGACAACCAGGGTGTCCTGGTGGCACCCGTGGCCCTGAGTCAGCGAGGTCCCTTGCCAAGCCTGTGACACATTGGGGACTGATTCAGAGCCAGGCTTGGTGGCAGAAGCAGGGTGGCAGGTCCCTGGCTTGGTCCCCAGCTCAAGTCCCCAGCCCATCGGAGGAGCCACATCCACACACAGGGTCATTCCCAGTTGCTGGTGACTGGGATGGTGGCATTGGTGGCTGGGCAGGAGGAGCACGGCCACGGGGGTCCCTCTGTGTCCCCTGGAGGGGCTGGGGTGTCACTCGGCATGTGACAAGGCAGGCAGGGGTGTGGGGACAGCCAGGAAGGCACCAGAACAGGCAAGTCCCCTGTGGCACCTCTGGCACGTGCCAGTTTAGTGGGTCACACTGCAACGGGGACACTTTTAATGGGGCCTGGGACCAGGTTTATGTCCCCTGAGGACAGGTGTCCTGAATGTGTGCTGCAGCACGCGGGCAGGAGGGGACAGGCTGCCATGGCCACAGCCAGCCCAGTGCCCACCACAGCTCCCAGTGCCCAAACTGGGGCCTTCCCCGCTCCTTGGGGTCCACAGATGGAGGAGTTCTGTGGGGTGGGTGATGTGACAGTGGGACCCACTGCAGCACCCAGGGAGGGGTGAGAGGGGACAGAGGGACTTGGGACATGTCCCAGTGGGGCAGGGGTCTGAAATGAAGTGGGGAGGAAAGGCCAGAAGAAGCTTCACAGGGAGGAGGGGAGGAGAGAAGGGATGGGACAGCCAGATGGACTGAGAGGAGGGTGTGGGATGGATGGATGGATGGACAGAGGGAGGGATGGAGGGATGGATGGAGGGATGGAGGGATGGAGGGAGGGAGGGAGGGAGGGATGGATGGATGGAGGGATGGATGGAGGGAGGGAGGGATGGATGGATGGAGGGATGGATGGAGGGAGGGAGGGATGGATGGATGGAGGGATGGATGGAGGGAGGGAGGGATGGATGGATGGAGGGATGGATGGAGGGAGGGAGGGATGGATGGATGGAGGGATGGATGGAGGGAGGGAGGGATGGATGGATGGAGGGATGGATGGAGGGAGGGAGGGATGGATGGATGGAGGGATGGATGGAGGGAGGGAGGGATGGATGGATGGAGGGATGGATGGAGGGAGGGAGGGATGGATGGATGGAGGGATGGATGGAGGGAGGGAGGGATGGATGGATGGAGGGATGGATGGAGGGAGGGAGGGATGGATGGATGGAGGGATGGATGGAGGGAGGGAGGGATGGATGGATGGAGGGATGGATGGATGGGTGGATGGATGGATGGAAGGACGGACGTTCCCAGCTCAGCACCAGCCCTTACCCGTGTCCTGCCGGAACTGGTGCATGGACTGGAGGTCGATGACATAGGGTGCCAGCTGGACATCCACCTGGCCCAGCACCACGCTGCCGCGGGGGTCCTCCTTCAGCACGTTCTCGATGTGGTGGCACACGGTGGCCGAGTAGGGCCGCCAGCGCCCGTGCTCGTTCAGCCACTCCCAGACCACCACGCGGGCCAGGCTGTGCGGGGGGAAGCCCAGACCCCCCGCAGCCCCCGAGCC